GGGATTTTATCTAAGAAGGTGATGTAAACATCATGCTTCCTGGTTCCCTCACATACAAGTTCTCCTGTTTGTGAGTTAACTATGTGACATAGGTTGGCTTGAAACTCAACTATATTACCTTTGTCACATAATTGAGAAATACTCAAGAGATTATGTTGCAAGCCTTCAACATAATAAACATCATCTATTGCGTTAGAAAGTGTCTTACCAACCTTACCTAAACCAGTGATGGTTCCCTTGCTGTTATCCCCAAAGGTGACACTTCCTCCATCAAAGGCCACTAGTGAAAGGAATTGATCTTTATCCCCGGACATGTGTCTTGAGCAACCACTGTCCAAATACCAATAGGTGTCTCCCTTCACTCTAGCCTGCAAGAGCAAATCAAACATTAGTTTTAGGAACCCAAACATACTTGGGTCCCTTTTCAACAACATTAACATCTTGTTGATCCTTTCTTCTCCACACATATTTTACACCCTTGCTGTTCTTATTAGCACTAATTTTCTTAGCTGGACATTCATGTATCTTATGTCCATTTTTACCACAATGAAAACACACATGCATCTCTTTAGTCATGACATACTTGCCTCGTTGATATTCTTTGATCCAGGTGGTTTCTCTGGGAGACCAGTTAGTCCTGGTTCTCTGTCTAGTATAACCAAGACCAACTTTTCCTCTGTTTCCTCTTGATGAAGTCAGGTAATTTAAGGATTCTTGAGCATTCAATAATTTGTCCACATGTCTATGACTATCATTAAGTTCTTTTTTCTCTGGTTTCAAGTGTTTTAGTTAACAATTCGTTTTTCTCTTTAAGAAAATCAAAGTTACTTTTTAAAGCTTCGAATTGTAGATTAAGTTTTGAAACCATAGAGTCAATAGACATGTCAACAATCACTGGTTGCTTGTCCTTTTTCAGTTGATTGATTTCCGCATGCAAATCACAAATATTACTTTCATACTTATCAATCGTATTACTGACATCTACACTGGTACCTGTAGGGGAAACAGTGAACTGTGCAGCTTTAAGTGAAGCAATTTCCTTGTGAGAGTTTTCCAGGTTGTAAGCCAATGTTTCAAAGGCCTTCAACAAGGAAGTTCTAGTACACGAATTTGCTTTACTTATAGCTACTGAAAAATCAAGAGTATCACTAGTGGTTGATAAGTCTCTAGGGAACCAGGAGGTCAGATCCTCTTCACCATCAATTGGTTCAAACGATCTTTCCTTTTCTAGTTCCACTTTACACTTGTCCAATTCAACCTCTAGTTCTGCTACTTGATTTTTTAGTTCATAACAGACTCCTTCTAGATGATCACAACTAGCAATAGCAATATTACATTCACCACGTTTTTCTTTTAATTCTCTTTTGCAAGTTATGTATGTTTCACTTAGTTTATAGCATTCATCTAGTAAGGAATCAATACAAGCAAGCATATTTTCTCTATCATATTCATGCATATCTTCTCTAATTTTCTCTAAGCTTACCTTGCGTTCATGTAGTACATCCTTCTTTGCCATAAAGCATTTGTTGAATGTACTGGTTCCCCCTCTGGTTCCTGGACCAGTGCTGTTTTCCTTGATGTTTGTAAAGGCAGTTAGGCAAACATCTGAGTTGGATGATCCTTCTTCTTCATCTGACCCTGAGTCAGAGTCTCCCCACATGGAAGCTATCATGGCATTCTTGTATGCTTGTTTATCTCCGGATTTAGACTGTTTGTCATTCCACTTAGGACAATCTCGAATAAGATGTCCTTTTTCTCCACACTTGAAACATCCTGTAGAAGAAGAATTAGAGTTAGATTTTTTATAGTTTTTAAAATGCTTACCTTTGAAATTCTTTCTTTGATCTCGAAGAGATCTCTCAAATCTTTTTGCAATCATGCTAATTTCATCTTCATCATCTTCTACTGTTCCCTTAAGCGCCATGCCTCTTGCTGGTTCCTTCTCAGACTTAGAGTCAATCAGCATCTCATGAGTCATAAGGGAACCAATCAGCTGTTCCAGAGACAAGGTAGACAGATCCTTTGCTTCATATACTGCTGTTACCTTGGCTGTCCATGCATCTGTTAAACTACGCAATAATTTTCTCACAAGATCCTCGTCAGATAAATTTTTACCAAGAGATCTAAGATCATTTACAATAGTCATAAACCTACGAAAGCAGTCATTGATTTTTTCATTTTTATTCATGGCAAACAATTCATATTTAGACATGATTAAATCAATTTTAGACCGTTTTACCTCGCTGGTTCCCTCAAACGCAAGTTCAAGGGTGTCCCATATCTCCTTAGCACTACTACAGCCAGAGATACGATTTGTTTCGGTCTCACCTATTGCTTGTTGTAGTATTGACATTGCCTTAGCATTCTTTTCCAGCAACTTGTAATCAGCAATGACCAATTCGCTATCCTTCTTGGGAACCTGGTTCCCCTCAACATCTGTCTTGAGAATGATATTAGGACCATTTTTAACTACGAGCCAGCATTCATAATCAATACCCATGATAACATTCTGGATCCTGTTCTTCCACCAAGCATAATTATTTCCATTAAACTTGGGTGACTTGTTGTCATAACCGATTGCACTTAATTCTTGAGTACTCATTCTTAACTCCTCTAGATGTTACTCTTTCGAGAAGCTTAGGCTCTGATACCAATTGAAGGTTCAATGGGCACTCAAGAGGGGGGGGTGAATTGAGTGTTAAGTAATCGTTGGCTAATTTTGCTTCTTTTCGGATTATGTGTGAGGAACCAGTTGTGCTGGTTCCCGTACGCAGCGGAATATAAATAAGCAATAAAGAAGACAACAAATTTAACGAAACAAAGCAATAAAGAACACAACAAATTTAACGAGGTTCAGCCAACTCAGGCCTACGTCCTCCTATCCTAAGTTCTTTATTAATCTACTCCGAAAAACAAAGACAAAGAACACTCTGCTGTTCCCTACTCCGGGAACCAGCAAACCCCACACTCTACTCCGAGTGTGCTCTCGACTTACACTCGTAAGCCCAATGTGTTTGAACTCACAAACACTCACCCAGCCTTTAACCCCTTTGTTAAAGACTCAATACAAGAATCAAGAACTCTCCTTTGATCTCACTTCTACGAAGCTAATTAAGAGAAAAAGTTTAAGTACTAGAATGCTCTTGTATATGACTTGATGAATGGGATTAGTGCTTAAGTAAATGCTCTCAAATAATTGCTCTTTTAATTTCTGGAGAGGCACACGAAATATGTGAAATAAGATGAGTTTATATAAGCTTAGATTCCTAAAACCTAGTTTCCTTAAATCACACAATCTTAGAGAATAAGATATAATGTAATTTTAGGAAAGTTTTTATCTTATTTGATTTAATCACAAAGATAGAATCAATTAAGATAAATACTCCTAGTTTTTAGGTAACCAAGAATATTTCATCTTATTTCCAGCTGCACAAAATATTTTCAAGATAATCTTTTCGAAAAAATCTTTTTGTAAAATCTTTTTCCAAAACAGCAGCTCGAATATTTCGTACAGTGAACCTGGTTCCCCGACCTGGTTCCCTGAATTGAAACATGTTATGAAACCTGTTCCAACTCTGTACCAGATTTCATATCATACTTCAATATACTTTTAAGCACTTATATAACCCAAACATGCAAGCATACTACGGAGCATATTACATGAAAACCTAGATAACATATTAAAGCATAAATCGTCTTTTCTTCATGTAATCTTCAAGACTTGAATCTTCCTTGAATACTTCTATTATGAGCAAACAATCTTTCTTCGAAATATCTTCGAAAGGCTTCTATGCTCCAAGTCTTGGAATCAACTCAACTACTGCACATGTAACATGGTTAATGCACAATAAAGAGTAAGTGACTGCTGTACCACGTAGCAACCATGGAAACAGTACATACTGGTTCCCTACCAGTACATAACACTTTTATCATATAACTGTTCCCTGTATAAAGACAAGTTAGTTCAATAAGAAAACTCATGTAAGTAATAACTTGTCTGGGGAAACAGTGTTCTATGTTAGCTGGTTCCCCCAACTGTATCGAACACTTTCAAGGACCTGTTTCCCTTAGCTGTTTGTCATCATTCAAAACTATCAATCAAAACCTAAGGGACTCAACACATTAAAATTTGAAATTGCCAAACTTTTAAATATAATCAAACTTAAGATTTGAAGTTACCAAAAAAAAACAAAAAAAAAAAAATCAAATTGAGATTTGATGCTGCCAAAAAAATTTTAATATATATAATCAAACTTCAGACTAATAGCCTAAGGGTCTAGCTATTTTGATTTACTAAAATAAGCTGAACTGAATTGTTTATGAGAGATTGAAATCGGGAAATGAACTGAACTGAACTGAAATTAAGTTGAAGAGAACAATCATGGAATATAATCAAACTACAGAAAAACTTTTTAAAGAGTTATTAAGCCTACCTAATTTTGATTTAAAATGAAAGATCTGTACAATTTAAAGAAATCAGACTAATGGTCTTAGTCAATGAATATAAAATTATATCCTTATAAATGAATAATTTACCTCAAAATTGCTTAAAGAATAAATAATTCCCTATTTGCGTCGATTTTAAAACTAATTTCTATTATATTGTCCACGTAGGAATGATGGTAGCTTTGTTGAGTCTTTTTTTTTTTTTAAATTCTCATTCATTTAAGAACCGCCAAAGTAACCGGTCCAGATAGGCTTAGTAATAATTTGTCAATTTGATGTAAATTAAGGCTAATTTTACCTTTTTTTTCTAATACACAACTCATTACACACAACTAGTATAGAGTATTGATGAAATATTGTGTCCTTTGTTTTCTGTCTACTAACCTTTTCTCTTTTTTTTTTTGACAAAGACTTCTTATAACCAAAAAAAACAATCAAAAGGAACTAAAGAAGACAAGACAAAAGGAAAATACTCGCTAAAAAGACGATAAAAGGAGCTGACGACGAGCACGGACAGCCAACCAGTGGACAGGGGCTACCTCAAGGCGAGAAACCTTGTGAATCTAACATGAACTAAAGCAAGAAATATGTCCCTGATCACATCAATCAACCAAAAATAGGAAATATCATCAGAATAAGAGCGACGCTGCACGGAAGCAAGGACTGCACTGTCAGGGTAAAGGATAGGATTTAAAAAAAACCCTCCGCCTAGCAGCCTGAAGAGCCCAAAGACAAGGCTGTAATTCCGAATGCAAAGCTGAAGAAGTTCGACAAGCTCTGGCTCCTCCACCTAGAACCAAGGGAGAAAAGAACTGTCAAAATACCCAACCTGCACCTGCCATTTGATCAGCCCTAAGCCAAGCATCATAAAAAATAATATAACAATCCGAATTGGCAGGAGCAAAATCCAAGACCTGTAAATGACTAAACAAGACTGGAGGAAAAGGAGGTAAACTGAGATGCTGAGAACAAGAAGTGGAATTTCCGACGCAAGAGCATCAGAGTGCCTCACAACCCATTCAGTGAAAATCTGCAGAATTGAAGCTGGAGAGCAGACTGCCTGTCTGAAAATAATTGCATTGCGAGTTAACCAAATAGCCTAGAGAAAGGAAACCAACTTACCAAGAGAGTTCCAACTTCGAGACCTCCCATATAAAAAACCAACGTAGTAAACCAAAGAGCAAACGATTGATCTTGTAAGAGAGAAGGCTGGAGACCCAGAGAAGAAGAAGTCAAAAGCTGAGAAACAATCGTACAGTAGTCTCAAAATAGATGAGAAGTAGTTTCCAACTGATACCGACAAAAGACACTTATTACTGGATTAACCGGGATTTCCCGAGCATGCAAAATACCGCAAAGAGGTAACGCATCATGAAGCAACTTCCAGCAAAACATCCGGAACTTGGGAAGGAGAGGCATGCCCCAAATGTGCTTCCACCAAAGAGTAGGAGCTGGAGCACTGATTATAGAGTGCATTGATTAGCGGATTAACAAAGCATAAGCTGATTTGGTAGAGAATCGACCATCGCGCGTAAACTTCCAATAAACAAAATCATCCATCATTTTTTGCGGACGATCAGTCGATAAAATCCTAGTAGCAGTGACATTATAAAAAAAAAAAAACTAATGATTCTTAAGAGTGTCCCACGCGTAAGAACGCAGATTAACGATAGAAGAAACATGAGTCGGGACCTCCGACTCGCTTGAATCTGGCCTAAAAGACACAGGCCCCCAGGAGCCCAAAACATCGTCAAGAATATAAACTTGAGACCCCGATCCCACTTTCCAGCCAATTCCCCGCTCCAAGGTAGCCTGAGCTTCTAACAGACCCCGACAACCCCAAGAAGGCCGAGAAACCCGAGCTAAGTGAAAAGACCGAAACACATGGTATTTTGCAGATAAAACCCTAGAGACCAAAAGCTGAGGATGTGTGAAGAGTCGCCAACGTTGTTTAGCCAACAGGGAGGAATTAAAACATTGTAAACTTCTAAGCCCCAAACCGCCTAACCCCTTAGGAAGCTGAAGTAAGGAAGAGGAGCGAAAAGCTATTCCTCGAGAAGAGGGAGAGGAACGCCACCAAAAGCGAGCCAACATCCCATCCACCTATTGACAAATGGAAACTAGGACCTTGAAAACAGATAAAATATGATTGAAAGAAGCAACAAGGAGCGAGTTGATTATTACTAATTTGACAGCAGAAGAGAGCCGGAGAGAGACAAGATCGGAGAAACGTTTCGAAACTTTATCAATTAAGAAACGGAAGGTCGAAACTTTACTTCTTCCCAAGTCAATCGACAGACCTAAATAAGAGTCCAAAGAGTCTCTACACTAAAGGCGGAGGGAATTGGCAAGATAATCCCGATAATATGAAGGTGTATTTGGACTAAACTTAACAAAGGATTTCTGTAAATTAAACATCTAACCAGACATGCTACAGATTTCCGACAACAAACACATCAGATAATCATAAGCAGAAGGAAAGACCTGGAAGAACAGGAGAGAATCATCAGCAAAGAACATATGCGAAATCGAAAGGGTTCCCCGAGAGAAACCTGACTCCTTTAAATAAATATCGCTCTCTTCTGCTTTACGCAACATGGCTGAAAGAACCTCCAGGCAAAGAACAAACAAATACGAAGAAAGTGGATCACCCTACCTAAGCCCACATTGTGGATGAAAAGTGGACGACGGATCTCCATTAACCAACACCTGATAAGAGGCAGAGGTGTTTCTACTAACTTTGGTTACCTTTAACATGCACTAATAATAGGCAGAGGTAGCTAGAAGAGTGTGCCTTGTGACAAGGGTGGAATGCTTCATGAAGGATTATAATATGAGTAAAGAAGAAGTGTTGCAAGTATTTAAAAAAATTATTGACGATGAATGGGAAGGATATTGTAAATGAAGGGCCGCTAATCAACCCATGCCCTAACAACTATGATCACTTGTCCAAGCTTGTCTACAATTGGATCCTTAGTTTAGCTCGTGTAGCAAAGGCTCTCTATAGGTTCGGAGATGTCTTCACCTTTGTCAATTACACAGTCAAAGAAGATATTATTTCAACCTATAGTGGCATATTTAATATGGGTTCTTATTAAATTAGATTTTGAGAAAATTTGTAATTCTAAAGCTAGAAAAGCTAGTCTTGATAAATACCGAGTAATTTTAATACTAAATAATAATGAACATATAATATTACCTTTTTTTGTTGGGTTTCGGCTTTATATCTTTAAAATTTATTCTTTGTCCATTTTATCACTACTAAATTACTAAGGGTCTGTTCATATTTACTTATTTTCAGTTCAGTTCAGCTCCAATCAGTTCAGTTCAGTTCAGCTCCAATCAGTTCAGTTCAGTTCAGTTCAGCTCCAATCAGTTCAGTTCAATTCAGTTCAGTAAATATGAACAGGCCCTAATAATATATGAGGAATATTTAATACAAAACAATAATTAATAAATCATAAATTTCTTAGATTCCAATTAAAAAAAAGTTATATGTATTTTTAATACACACGACCTATTGGTAACCAACCTTTATGGTTACATAACACGACTATTGTCTCGTTGGTGTAGTATAAAGAGACCAATTGAAAACACGTTGATCAATGTCCAAAAACAAGAGACTGTATTTTTTTGTGTAATATTTTTGGAGATGAAGAGGAAGAACTGTATTTTGTGTATCTGTGTGACAATGAAGAGGAGGAGGCTTGATTTTGCATACAAAGTACAAACATATATCATATATGATGTGCAAAAGAATCAATCAAAATAAGATTAATTTAGCTTTTAATCAAGAAGCAAACGGCTAAGCTAAAAAAAAAAAGTAGCAATATATAGATAATGGCACAAAGAATATTATAATGGCCAAAAGTCAACTAATTGATATTAATCATTAATCAAGCAAATTTGTACTTGATCTTTTGAAATAAACGTACTTAGACTTGAAGTTTTACCTCGGTGATAGACTGATAGCTAATAACTCTAATATGTTATCATTATGCATAATCATCAAATGATGGTTAAATAAAAATGGGTGAATAACTGAATAGTACAGAGTATCAAGGTCTTTTTTTATTTATTTTTTCCTAATATACAATTAGTGGGATGTTTCAATCATGGTCATCCTAAAAATGACCACTAATATTCCTAAATCCTATTGATTGATTTTTCCTTTATTTTAAATTTTAAGAGATATCTATGGTATTTGATGGGACGTATTTAAAACGTGATCGTGTGTTGAGAAATTAGATAATTAGTATCGAGTAGTAGAAATTTCTCTTGTACGGAGTATTATCTATAATACTACCTTCGTTTTAAATTAGTTGCAAAATGAAATATTTTATATATCTCACAAATAATACCCCAAAATTACAACTAATATGAAACGGAGGTAGTTCTACGAATACTTTGTACAATGGAAATTCACTTGTTTTGCTTAACGACAAACAAACAAAAAACAAATTCTTCCATCTATGTACTCGTACAAGTTTACTGTTCTAACAAATAAAGCCAAAATCCTCACCTAGATATCAACTCATGCCATTTCATTAACATGCCTAATACATTGGACATTTGGACATACACTTGTTTTGGGTCCAACATCAACATGCCAATTGAAACACCAAACCAAGCATTGTGTTGCACTTAAATTGTTAATATTTGCATGAACAGCCAGAATTATTCAATGTCCTAAAAATATATCAACATATACACAATCTAAGATATAGGTCAATAAAAATGAGATCATTCAATTCCATAACAATTTGGCCTCGATCTCACTGACCTTGTTGCATTATCTGGTAAGTTTGTCTCTGTATGCACCTCCGCTAATATTAGCCTTCTGACAAGGATCATAGCGCGTACAAGTCTTTGTTGCTCGTTACATCAGACCTATAATTTGTGTAAATTTTATGACTTCCCCCTTATGCTATTTGTTATACGTAGAACTTTTATCATCGTCTTAAGACACATCTTATAAGAGGCTGTGTTGCTTATTGCACACTTGCACCAATATATATTCCGGTCAAAGTTATACATCAACATTTTTTAGTAAGGTATTAACTAGTATTGAGTGTGTAGGTGCTCATACGATTGGACGTGTTCACTGCTCGATAATGAAATCCTTGGCTATATAAATCAGCTCCTCCAGGAAACCCAGGTTTAAATCCATCGTACTTAGCGAAGTTGCAAGAAACTTGTCCCCAAAATGGAGATAGGGATCCTGAGACAGATCTTGATCTTGGAAGCCCTAGAATATTTGACAATAGCTATTTCGTCAATCTTCAGATTAATGTAGGCCTCCTAATCACAGATCAAGATCTATATTCAACTTCTGGATCACCCACTACTGTAGATCTTGTCAATAATTATAGTCGTAACCTAAGCATGTTCTTCGACCAATTCGTCCGCTCAATGATCAAGATGGGCAATATCAACCCTTTGACTAGGAACAATGGAGAAATAAGGTTAAATTGCAGGAGGGTTAATAATCCTAATTAGAATTTTACCTGAAATTCGGAAATCTTATAAAAAGGCCGAATTAGGAGGGTTATTAGCATTAGAAGCTTAAAGCATCAAATTAGAAGAACGCCACTATCCCTAACAGCCTTGCTAATATGAATTATCATTTCATCACTGCATCAAGGAATAGCCGAATAAATGTACTTATGCATAAGCATTACACGTTCATGTAGTATAACTATATGTTTTCTAAATAGTAGACAATAATTAATTGAGGTCATTTCCGATAATTGAGAGCTTAAATTTTCAATTATGAATTTCACATTAGCTCTATATAGGCCTCTGTATTTGTCAAAGATAGGCATTGTTTTCATAAGACTACTGCAATGAAATACGCCAATAGGCCTCTATATTTGATGTAAGTTTCTAAAAAGGAATGATAAACAAAATAGGCCAAAGAGCCAGAAAAAATTATGAATGAAAATTAGTCTTTCAGAAGTACAAAAAAAAGCCCAAAACCGGGAACTAGTTTAAAACTAACAACAAAACAAGTAACGTAATGCTGAACTCATTGCAAAACTGTCAGCTGAAAGCATTAGACATGAATTTCTAGAATCAACTGTTCACACAAGATCTCAGGAGACAAACATTGCTCAAGTTCTAGCAGGTGGTGCACCAGGGCGAGCTGGTGCTTGACCAGGCTTAGGTGTATCCTCCTGATCAATGAAAAGAAACATATGTTATTCATCTTCCAAATTCTACAAAACTACTACCATTAAAAAAAGACATGGGCAAACACCACCATAAAACTTTGGCGGCAGACCGCAGGGGAATGAGGTTTCAAGTTATATCAATTTACGTTATACAGTAATAAAACAGGAGTTCACCAGCTAAGGCGTGTTTATTAAAGAACAGATTTAAGGTTTTTTTTTTTAAAAAAAAAACATATAATCCATCCTTGTTTCTACAATTGCCCAGCACCCATCAGATAGGGGGATAAAACCAATATAACAAACTGAAAAGTTACACAAACATATCAACCCTCCTAGCTCCTAAAACAATACTCGTATAAAATTGGACTGCGACTGCACTAGGAAAGCAAGGAAGCATTAAACCTATTTATCTAAATTCTAACAGCCACATCAACACAAGCTATACAGCCTAAAGAAGAGCATGTGATGGTTCAGGACTTGATTAATACAGTCATATCTTACATGCAGGGTGCAAAATATGACCGAACATGTAAGAATTAGGATTCAAGCACTAACATAAACACTATGAACAAGGAATTTCAGAATAGGGTCATGTAGTGTAGAACAATTCAGTACATCAACAAGATTCAAGCAGTTTGCAGTGACTAAACTATTCAGGGTTAAATACTCAGTCGACTAGAGACAATACCTTGCGTCTGTAACGCTGTGGTGGCTCACGGACTCTTCTCTTCTCACGTGATCGAACTCTGACAACATGTGAGTGAATAGCACAGGAGACACAGTATTGCATCTTGGTGTAGAGCTTAGGAAGAGTGTAACCTAAAATACATACATCAAAATTCACATTTAGTCCATTCCTCAGAAGGGGAAGTATCAGCAAAAAGATGAAAAACCGGCACATATGAACGACATCAACACAAAATTATTACCATCATAAACACAAGCTTCCTGGACATCCCTAACAGCAGCTTGCTCCACAATGTTCCTCACAAGGAATCTCTTGATTGCCTTGTCCTTTAACAACAAAAAACAGAATTTCAAAAAGACATTAACTTCAAAATCATGACCATTACTTAAATTCGCAATACAACAACAACAAAGACTTAGTCCTAACATGATTTGGGGTCGGCTAACATGATTTGGGGTCGGCTAACATGAATCGTCACAAGGAAACATCCGCAAGAATGTAAAAACTAAAATAAAAAATTGCTTAACTAGTTCAAGATGTCCATATAATCATTATAAAATCTCAAAATATTATCAATGAAATCGAAACAGTTTCATAACTAATGCAACTTACTAACATGAATAAAATTAAATTAACATGCCCAAAAAATATAATCTTTGGATCAAACAAGCCAAAATTTCAATAATTAAATCATCTAAAAAAGCACAATATCGAACTAAATCTTAGCATTATATAATAACACATAAAATTGGAGAGCTTTTATACAAAAAAATAAAAATAAAATAACAACTGAAAGTAGTATAATTAACATCAAAATTAAGAACAAAATTAGTGAAATTATAAAAGAAGACCTTAGGGCAGCATTTGCCGCAGTTGGAGCAGCGAATGAAATTGACATGACCACGGCCGTGTTTGTTGCGACCTCCATTTCTCCTCTTGAACGTCTGAATCACAGAAAAAACAATTGAGAAAGAAATCAATGAAAATACAAACGACGATTAAAATCAACAGAAAATTAGGAGAGAGAAAATGGAAAAATGACGAACCATGGCGATGAAAGCTTCAAAACCCTAACAATACCGATCTGAATACTCAACGGCTGAGCAAATTTATTTAGGGTTTTTGAATGAAGAAGGAATATGGGAAGAGGTTGTGTTTTATGATGAAGTGGTGGATTGGATTTTGGAGATTGGGTTACGAATGTTTTGGGCTGGGCTAATTAAGCCCAGTTTGTAAATTTGTGAGAGTAGTGGTAAAAATTGGATTAGCTTTTGCATTTATGGTTTCGTTATTTCGTAGGGGTGTTCACTTCTAGACCCGGACCTGAAACCCGACCTAAACCGAACTTGTTTGAACTGGACCAGACCGGTCCCGTAGATTCAGGTGCAGCTCCCGATTTTTAAAAGTAGGGGATTTCTAGTTTCAGATCCTGTTTGTTCAGTCCAAAACCGAACCAGACCTACTTTTTAGGTTTAGACCGGAACTGGAGTGGACAATTTTGGTCTAATTTCCGGTCCTCAAAGATTCTGATCCCGGTCCAATCTGGTTTCGAACTGATGTACAGCCCTACTCGTAAGAAATAGGTAGAATTAACAAAATTGACACGACTTGTGGGAACCTCGATTGAAATTTGTAAGACTAAGGTTAAATCAACCTCGTTTGAAAATTGTAAGACTGAGATTTGTACTTCGTAGTTGTTTTCATAAACATATGAATGAACAATAGTTTGTATCTGATTAGAATTAGATGGGAACTTAACTTGATTGACTCAACAACAATACCAGATCGAATTGACATGGTCGAAATGAGTTACTTGTCCGTTTTAGCTATAGGTGAGCAGAAACATGTGAAACTGCAACAACATTTTTCATGGGGCAAAGGCAAAATATAAATTGAATCAAACACATACACGTACCATATATCATGTCTTCCTTAATCATCTTTTCATTTATCCGTGAAAGTATAAGCATATATAAGTATATAACATACTTCGTACGTAGTACTAGTTACATTACTAAGATTGAATGATTGATGATGAAGGATTAGAATAGCTATATAACTGTTGTAAGGATGATTATAATGTTGAGCAAAATTGTATTGTATTTAGGTATGACATGTATATTTATAGTATTGTTTTTATTTGGTATATAGATTGACATGTAGGGAAATTGTATCAGACGGAATTCAATTTAAGGTCTTGGTTACTAGCCAGTCCACTAATAGAGCAACAAATGTACTTGGTATAACAGCATTATACTTAATTGATTTAAATTTAAAAACATTTATATCATGGTATCTTTAATTATTAAAGTGTGGGTAGTTATTCAATTATGATAATAATTATATTAGCTTCAATTCCATAAATTAAAAATGGAAGGGTGGAATAGTGGATCTTCATTGTTCTTAATTTTGAGGTCATGAAATAATTAATTACTTGACTCTTCATACTCTCCGTGAGCTTACAGACGATCCAACCCTTTTTAATTATCGTATTATTTGCTGGTGACTCTTTAGACTTTAGAGTTCTAGTGTATATGTAACTGTATGTACGGACTTTTTCCTGCAGATTCCTCTAAAAATATACTTTAATTACTTATAAATTAATCAAGATTAATAACGTAATCATGGATCACGACAAAAACAACTAATGGTGGAAGCTTGATTTGTCGAATCTACTGATACTGTATTATAAATCTGGCCTCTTGCTGTTTTATACTAAGGGTCTGTTCACATTTACTGAACTGAAATGAAATGATTGGAGCTGAACTGAATTGAATAGAACTGAACTGAGCTGAAATGAATATTTTATAAGAGAAGAAAATTAGAAACTGAACTGAACTGAACTGATTAGAGCTGAATTGAACTGAAATTAAGTAAATGTGAACAGGCCCTAAGTAGTCTTTGTCTGGTGAGAATTAGAATGGAGGATAAAAGAATCCTAGTGTTTTTTTTTTTCGCTCCTTGAAATCATAATTGATAGGGATTAAAAACCCTTGATTTCATTCGAAGTTACAAGGTAAAACCCTTTTTAAAATCAACAAAAAATAAATTTTTTGTATGTGTAGAAACTTCTACCCACTTATTATTATTACTAGGATTTCGAAGGAGATTTGGTAATCAATTTTCGTCTAGGATAAAAATATTACGGAGCATAATGAATATGAAAAGTTAATCGAATTTTTTGTATGTGTAATTGTCATTAACACTATGAACAAACACGCACGAAAACATTCATAGTACGCACCCATTACTCCATTAGTCATAAATTGGAACTTATAGTATCACATATATAACTTAAGAAGTTGTAATTTCTAAAACTTTCACGATAATGGAAATGTTAATCATAATTTAGTTGATCACATTAATGAAGTAGAACTTCCACGAGCAAATCTCCACTAATATGAAAGAGGCTAAGTAAACAAGTGCCTCTATTATGTTGGATGAAAAGTTGAATTTCTTAATTAGCTAGCAATAATAATGGTGACCACTTTTCCCTAAGAAAATCAAGAATGCAACAATTGCAATGACTATAAATTCCTCATTCCTAATTAAATAATATTATATCATTGACAATGAGTTTTTAGCCAAAAGTCAAAATAACAAGTCGAATACTTCCTCTATTTCTTATATTTACAACA